AGGTTCTGCAGAGGATGTAATAGGACTTTATAGTGTTCATTGGGTTTAGTAGCAGAGGCCATTAAAGTAATATTCCAGAAAACATTTGAGGCATTTAAACATTTTAAATCATTTCACTTCTGACAATCTATACTGAATAATTACTGGATCAAGAGATAATGAGAACTTTGATGAATGTTGTTAAATTACAAAAAGATGAAATGAGTTTTCATTTCAATGGCGGCATATGATTTTGACCAGCCACCCAACTGCATCAGAAGCAGCATGGCAGAGGGGTTCAAAGCATTCACTCTGAGCTTATATCCTGCTTTACTATGTTTAGTGCCCTTGGGCAAGTTACTGAGCCTTGGCTTCCTCTTGTGCAAAAATGGGATGATAATAGTACCCATCTCATATGGTAATTATAGAAGTTGCTAAAATTAGTTTTTATTTTTAGAGCACTTAAACAGCATTTGGCACATAATAAGTGCTAAATCGACAATGGCTCACACCTGTAATCCCAAAACTCTGAGAGGCTGAGACAGGAGGATTGTTTGAGGCCAGAAATTCAAGACCATTTTGGGCAGCAAAGCAAGACCTCATCTTTACAAAAAATAAAAATAATAGCTGGTTGTGGTAGCACCCGCCTGTAGTCCCTGCTATTTGGGAAGCCGAGCTGGGAGGATCACTTGAGCTCAGAAGTTGGAGGCTGCAGTCAACTATGATTGTGTCACTACACTTTAGCCTGGCCAACAGAGTGAGACTCTGTCTCTAAAAAAAAAGTTAAAAATAGAAAAAGGTGCTAAATCAAAGTGTTAGATAGACAGATAAAATCAATGTTGGGTATTCTAATTTTTTCATATTTTGCAAATCAGAAAGGTGTTGAGTAATATTACCTCTATTTTCTAGTTAGCTTTATAGAGGTATAATTTACATGACTCGATGAGTTTTGACAAATGGTTATACCTGAATGGCCATCACCATGACCAGATATGAAACATTTCCATAACTCCAGACAGTTCCCTTTTGCCTCCTCTGAGCGAACACTCAACCTCACCCTCACCCTCAGCTTCAAGCAGCCGTTGCTCTGCTTGCTTTCTTGTGAATTAGAAAGCTCTTTTTTTAGAGTTTCAGGTCTGTGGAATCCTGGGGTATGTACTCTGTGCTCAGCTTCTTTCACTCAGCATATTTTTGAGATTCATCCATATTGCTGTATGTCCCAATAGTTCATTCCTTCCTATCCCTGAGTAGTATTTTGTTTTATGGATGTACCACACTTTCTTCTTTCCATTTACCTGCTGCTTCTAATTTTTTAGCTTTTTGAATATTACTATGAATGTTTACGTACAAGCCTTTGTATAGACATATTTTTATTGTTTTAACTTGCATTCCTTATTATTCTTTTACTAACTCGTTAAAAATTTGAAAACATTTTCAAGAATCTTACCATTTTTTTTTTGTTTGTGAATTCAGTCTTTTGTCCATGTTTTAATCTGTGGTCTTCTTGTTTTTGTGTATATGTTTTAATTATTGAGATAATCACATCTTTTTCTTTTTTAATTCTTCAATAAATTCGGCATTTGTAAGTTCCCAGTGAAAGATATTTTGGATATTTTTCTGTATATGTATGTGTATTGTGTGTGTGTATGTGTATGTGTGTTTGTGTATGTTGTATTTGAGACAGATGCCCCAGTAATTTTGGGAGGTCTTAATTAGTGATCAGAATGGGCCATTGATCCGTTATGAAGGCAGAGCTAATATGAATCTTGGGTTAACTCGAGTCATAGTTCACATTCACTGTAAAATCCATGTTCATTTTAGTATGTTCTGACCAGCACATTCTGACTTGTATATTATTCTGAAATATGACAAGTCCAGGTATCCTGAGACCACTGGTTTTGTCCATAGCTAAGTCTTCTGACTAGCTGAGGATTTGCCTCTATTCATAACATTTCTTATTAAAAGAACACCTAGCCATTTTGGTTTGAAAAATTTCTAAAGTACATTACACACATCTTTTGTTTTCTTAAACTGAAATTACTGTATATGATTTTACTTTTTTGGTAATCCACGATAGTCATGATGAATATTCTTTGGAAGTAATAGCCTCAAAACTTTTGAAGTATGTTGGACTATTGCCATGCTCAGTGGGCTCACATTTTTATTTTCTGCTTTGTGAATTTTTGGTCCTTTTGATGGTTTTCTTCTTGTTCCTTGGTTGCTGTCCAGGTGCTGCCCTAATACCTCAGATGTGACTCTCCTATGGACTTCAAAATCAACTAGTCCCAATGTTTAAGGGTCATGTAAAAATAGGAGTAAATGGGCTCCAAATGGGTGAACTCTGAATAGAAAAAGACCTGTTTTAATCTATTATTACCCTTTAGAAGTCTTTTTCCTATCTTTTTGTGCTTGAAGGTGTTCTGAATTATTAAAGTTAAGGAGTTATAACAGATAAAAGGTACGCTATTATGTTCTATGAAATACTATTCACAGAATGGTATTTCCTTATTACTTTAGGTGAGAAATAGGATTAAAAATAATAATAGATAACCCAAATGTAAATGCTTAGTGTGTGCCATGTACTCTTCTAAGTGTTTGAAATATTATACTCATTTAATCTTCACAGCCACAACATCTTAATAGTTATCTTACTGTGATGAGGAAATTGAGTCACAGAGAGGCTAAGTAACTTGCCCAAGGTCACATAGCTAGTATGAGGGACCTATCCCAGAGTCCATGTTTCTAACCTTTGTGCTACACTATTGGCAGAGTGATATATGTGCGGGTGCAAAGCCCAGTGGTAGAAAAGTGAATGCACGTTTTATCTTTCTCCTGTTTTAGAAAGTTAATATTGGGGAGAACTTTCAAAGCATACAGTGAGAACATAGGCCAGCAGTCTCAAGATCTTGTGATTTATAGGTTTCAGACGTTCAGGGTGACTTCTCTACTTCAGTAGGCACTTTTTCAAGTATCTCCTTTTTCTTTGGAGTAGTCTTTGGTGATAAGCAAAGACGCTCTCACTTTAAATTCATGATCACTAATTTCAAAAGGCCTGGCAATTCCTTTTTTAAAGCATATTGCAAAACTTATTAAATGAAAATTAGAAAAAAATGTAAAGCTTATGCATTTCAAAAATATGAGTACAGTAGCAGTTAGTTTGGAATAACAAAACCACTGAAGTTTTTTTAGGAGAGAGTCCCTTGTGGTAGCATATTGGTTGAGAATTGAAACACTTATCATATACTTCGTGCTGCTTCTTGGAAGGAGCCCTTTGCGTCTTTACAATAAGCTATTTATTCTTTGGTATTTAATTTTCTTACTGATTTAACAGCCCCACCAGATTCATGGAAAACATTCAGTGGCCTTCCCCAGGACCTCTTTCCTTTTTTCTCCCACCTTAAGTAACCTCTCTGTTTTACACCTCTTAGAACATTTTATTCTACTTTGGGTGATTGCTTAATTTTTTAACCTCATTCTATAAGGTGTTGGTTACGGTTCCAAAGCTAGCTTTGAATATGTAAGCAATTTTATGTTACTGTTTATTATTTTTTGAGTAAATAGATAAGTGGAAATTAAGATCTTTCTGTCTTTTTCAGACCATTTTATATACTCTAAAATCTCCAGTAGACCAGAGATACTTGAATTGCTTATTCAGTGCAATTATATAACTTAGGCTGTGCACCAAATTTACTTAAAGTCTTTTGAAATTATACAAGCCCATTTGAAAATGTTTTGCTACAAATGTATTCAGGAACATGTAATTAATGCCAAATTCCACTTTGTTTATTCATTAGTTTTCTGTTTCCTGTAAAACAGGGAGAACACTAAAGCTGCTATGAGCATTAAATTAGATAACATCTGTTTAAAATCTTATTACACAGTTATCCTGTTACTTACTGGCTTATAAAGGGTTCCTCTTAATTGTGGATTGAAATTAAACATTCTACATGTCAATTATCTTTAACAGTTTTTGAAATGAGGTAATTAGTCCAAGCCTTACCATGCAATAAATCAACACAAAAGAACATGTGGCACAGTTTAAAGTGAATTCATCCAGTGTTTTTTTTTTTCTCATTAAAATACTTTACAGGCAATTTTGAAGTGCTACTTAGGGTCCTTCCATCTTGTTTTCAGGTGGAACTAATTGGTTTTCTGTAATGTTTCTGTTACACATTTTTGATTTTGGGATTCTGGCCCTCCTCACCATAATTTTAATTTCTGAAGCACAGTAGTTAAAATATTGATTGCAAATGTATTGACTGTTGTGATTTTGGAAGAGAATTAAGTAACACTTTGAAGAATCTATTTCTTATAGTCATTGCTTTTTAAAAAATGTTTTTAATTTTTAATTTTATTTGTTGTAGAGATGAGATCTCACTATTTTGCCTAGGCTGGTCTCAAACTCCCCGGCTCAAGTGATCCTTCCGCCTTGGCCTCCCAAAGTACTAGGATCACAGGTGTGAGCAACTGTGCACGGCTATAGTCATTGTTTTGATGTTAGCCTTTCTGAATTGTTGCATCATACTCCATCAGAATAACCCTGAGCGAATGAACCAAGAATCCTATCTCAAGCTACCATAATCTCTCTCACTATTCAGAGTTAACCGTGGGTCTTAGCAGATTCATTAGCTCAAGAGAGGGTGTAGCCTCATGATTCTTAACAGCCCTTTTCAGCACTTAGGCACTACCTCTCTGTCAACTGTCCTGGTTTGTCTCGCCCGCCTCTTAAAATCATCAGAAGTTTTCAATTCATTCCACCTATAAATGTTGCTTTGTTCATCATTGGTGAAACATTTTTCCCCATTTTTATTTTAGGTTCAGGGGGTATGCGTTTGGCATATGGACATTTTGTGAGCAGTGGGGATTGGGTCTCAGGTGGCCCATTCCCCAGATAGTGAACACTGTACCCCATAGGTTCTTTCTGAACCCTAGCCTCCCTTCTCCCTTACTCGTGTCCCCGGTGGGTGAGACATATTTTTAAAAAGGCATTTAGTATTTGGAGGGGAGATCTATTTCTTTCAGGGGGATAATTTTGTTTGTTTTTACTGTAAACTGAGTGGATGTGATACAAATAGATGCTTCCGTTATGGCTGTATAGGTCAAATCCTGTTGGAGTAAATGTGACTTTTTAAAAGAAAATTTGATGAGTGCCATGTGTGCATTTTTTCAGCAGCTACAGTGACAAGCATGGGAAGGGAATGGTGACTCACTCTGCTGTCTGCCTACTCCTGTCTATACCCAGGCAGTTCTCCAGGGCTAGAGAAAAATGCACAATGATACTGGTAGGTCTCACTTTAAATTCATGACCACTAACTTCAACAGGGCCAGTAGTGCTGCATTTCTTGTATGCTACCTACTTTCTTTTTCATATGAGTATGTCACACTCTCTCCTCTCAATCATTAATCATTCTCCTTCTGCCCCGCCCCCACCCCAACCCAAAGGTGATGAGAAACTAAAAAGCAACCAGAAGGAAATGTTTAACCTTTCTCCTTATCTGGTCTACTAATGTACCTATATCTGTACCCAGGTCCCCTGCTGGACTTCAGTGATTAATATGTCCTGAGGCCAATCCTTCAGCTTGTCTATTTCACATCCCCTCTTGCCTCCAATACTCATCTCTTTAGCAGTTGTCCCTTCTCTCTTCTACGTTGTTAATGATCCCTCTTCCCCCTTTACTAGATCATGCCTGTCACATACTTACATACTGAAACAGTTCCCATCTTGAAAAGAAAAGAGAAAGGCAGAATAAAGAAAAAAAAAACCCACTTCCTGGAGATGCCACTATTCCCTACACATAGTGCCCATTTCTGTGTCTTTGCAGCAGAACTTTTCAAGAGGTTCTAGTCTAGCTTTCCTTCCACTCTTTTTTGAAATTTCTCCATTGAAGCTTTCAGCCCCACCACTCTGTCAAAACAGTTCTGATGAAGGTTACCTGTGATTTTTCCAAAGATAAATCATGGACCAGTTCTCAGTGGCTTGCCCTGACATCAGTACTTGACACAGTGACTCTTTCTTAAACTCTCTTGCCTTTGGTCCCAAGACCTCACTCTTCCAACTTTGCTCTGACTTCAGTGGCAAGGTGCCCCTCATTTCCTAGACCTTAAACTGCCTCAGAGTCAGTCCTTAAGCTCCTCCTCCTATGCTTACCTCCTGTGTGAGTCTAGTGGATTCCATCTTGTGGCCTAAACTGTCTATTCACAGATGACTACCGAATTTTTATCTCTAGCTTGGACCTCTTTCCTAAGCTACACACTATCATGTCTAGTAGTCTCCTTGATTTTTCTCCTGAAATGTCAGAAGGTCCAAGGTGAAGTTCTTGACTTCCAGTGCCCAAACCGGTTCCTCCTGTAGTATTCCTCATCTGTAATTGGTCAAGTCAAAAACTGTGGAGTTACCCTTGGATCTGCTGCTTGCTAAAGAATGTATGCAGAATCTCACCATTTCTCACCACCTCCATAGCTACCTCTTTCATCCAAGCTGCTACCATCTCTAGGAATGGATTTTTGCCATTATGCTCGCGTTGGCCTCCTTTCTTCTACTCTTGCCCCCGTAGAAGATTCTCCATACAGCAGCTGGAGAAGCTTTTATAATGTGAAGTCAAATTGCCCATGTGCTCAGAGCCTTCCAGCAGCTTTCCATTTCACTGGGAGCAGAAGCTGAAGTATTGCAATGGCATTCACAGCCTCAGTGATCTGGCTTCTTGCTATACCTTAATATCTTCATTTCCTTCTTTTCCTTCCCCTTCATCCCCACCCTTACCATCTCCCCTTTTATTATTCTGGCCACAGAAGCCTACCTGCCTTTCCTTGAAGGAACTAAAGCACCCTTCACACTTTAGATCCTTTGTGCTTGCTGCTTCCTCTGCCCAGAATGCTCTTCTACCAGCTATTCACAGAGGTCTCTTGCTCCACTCAAATGTTCAAATGTCACTTTATCAGCGAGCACTTCCCTGAAAATCCTATTTGGTATAATATCTTCCCCCTACCCACATTCCCTCCAAGCATAATCCTGTGTATATTACTTACTTCTCTCTCCTTTTTGAGGGCAGAGACTTTGTTCTGTTGCTCCTGTATCCTTAAGAACTGACCTGGAACATCCTAGGTTTTAAATAAATGGGCTGGGCATAGTGATTTATGCCTGTAATCCTAGTGCTTTGGGAGGCCAAGATGGGAGGATCGCTTGAGGCCAGGAGTTCAAGACAAGCTTAAGCTACATAGTGAGATTCCTATCTCTTAAAAAAAAAAGAAAGAAAAGGAAATCACTGGGTGTGGTAGCACACACTTCTAGTCCCAGCTACTCAAGAGGATAAGGTGAAAGGATTGCTTGAACTCAAGAGTTCAAGACTGCAGTGAGCTCTGAGCACACTACTGCACTACATTCGGGGCAACAAAGCTAAGACCCTGTCTCTAAGAAAAATAAATAAAAATTTTATAATGACTAAATAAATAAATGGATGAAGGTGGTGGTAGTAGTAGAGGTGATGGAGATTTGTAGTATGATTCATTCTGTTAAGTATGACAGTCTCAAATTATTTAATATAGCTTTTTGAGAATTCACATACAACTTTTGAAAACACTATAGAAAGCCAAGGTAGGTCTGTATATGCACAAAATTAAATCTTACCTATGATCCTCAACCTGTATTTGATAAGTCTGTTATTAGCCCACAGCAACAGCCTAAGCATAAGTAATCACTATGCATCAGACATGGTGCCAAGATTATGCAGTTTCCTCCCCTCAGTACCTTTCAGTATGTTATTCCATTTTACAAAAAAGTAAATGACTTAGGTGAGCTTATGAGACCAATGGAAGATAGAAAGTGGTGGCCCTGCAATTGGATCTCAGTGTGTCTAGCTATAGAACCTTCTGAAAATGATGTAACTGCCAAATAAAAAGCCTCCTGGAGCTCTTCTTATGCACTGTGTTCTGTACATGATGGTCCTGTATATGTTTACATGCTAAAATAGGAAAGTACTTAAGAAATAACTTTTAGTTTTGGAAATCAAGTGTTAAATGTTGTGGTTGTTAAGCAGTAATACATATAAACAAGAAACCTTTTTGAAATTTTGAGCTAAAAGTTAAATCTCATGGCACTTTGCCTAATGACCCAGGATAGCTCTTGTGGTCTGGTTCAAACAAACATTCTAATACCAAAATCGGTGAGCTGTTGCTATGGTTGTGAACACTTTTGTGTGTGAGTCCATAGAGACAGATAAAACAGAGCCGTGGCATGGAGTGCTCAATTACTTCTCTAAAAAGCCTCTTTAGAGGAAAGTGAGAACTGAATCCTCAACTTCAGATCTGTACAGTTAACTCTGCAGTAGACTATTGCTCTTCATAAAAACATCCTCAAAATCAAAAAGAGAAATTCTGTGAAGGTAGGTGAAACAGGAAGGGAATTGCTAAGGACAAGGGAAGATGGCATCAATGAAGCCATGCCTAGCTCTATTGTTAATTTTCTGGTTCTCTAGAAGAGAGGGTGGTGAGTCAAGAGTTGGAGCCTCCAAAAAAGCCCACTTTCTTGTTCTCTCTTCTTTGCCACAACCTACTTACTCTCTTAGTCCACTGATACATGAATCCCCTTCCAAAAGAAGACCTGAATGATTAGACAGTAGTAACCTGGAATTTTTATTAGCACACAAAAAAAAAATGGACTGAGAGAACCTACACTTCACTTACGGTTCCAAATGCCTGTGAAGTGAGCTGTAGCTGTTGGTGGCACTCTCCCTGTGGAAGCCAGGTCTGGATTGCAGACTCTGTTGTGCTAGGTTTTTGTAAGAGCTACTTTTTTACAGAATAAAAGTAGTGATACCCTGGGTGAGCTGGTAGCCAATTAGGTAAGGCTAAATCTTGTTCATTAATTTAAATGATGTGCTGAAAATTATCAATAAGGATATACTTTTTTTTTATTACTATCACGAATTTTAAAATGTGACTGTGCATTCAAGATAGGCTGTTGTCTAATCCACTCTGAAAACCTCTTCTTTGAGGTTCTCTTTGTTCTACTGGGAACAAATATCAGAAATGTGTGGGAACTAATTAGAGGAACTGTATAGTATTCTTGAATTCATTCATAGCACGATAGCATGTCATATTTTTGTTGGTCTTATTTATTGTGACTGAAACTACCAAGCTCCTGTATAATAGTTGCTAAACAACAACCTTGTGCTATTGATTTTGATTTCTTGTGTATTTTTTATGCTTTGTGTTGTGATGGCATGATTTTATTCCTGTCCTTTTATTTTTTAAAAATGCACATAGTTATTTCAAGGTATTACAAGAGTGTGTATAATATAGACTTTCCCCCCAAGTGTTTTAAATATCAAAATAAATGGCTGAGATATACTTGTTTAAAAATCCAAAAAAATAAGTAAGGCCATCTTTAAATGAGGCCGTTTATGAACAGAGAAATAAGATAGGAGGTGACACAGATAGACAATTAGTAGTTGTTCCTTAGGATTAGTCCATAAGTTGACTTGAAGTATTCTCACTGTGTCCTTTTATTTTTGTGGGCTTTGTGTCATGACCTTAATTTTTCTTTTCTGTTCCAACATCTGCTAGCTTTTAAATGGAATAATTTCCTTGGTATTTGCAATGTTTGGGAGGTGCTTTGAACATACCCAGCTATTGTCCCCAAGCAACTGACTGGGTCAAATTTGGAATTGGACTCTCATGCTGTGACCTTAATAATTAACCCTTTTTGGCTCTAAAATATTAATTGCCCTTTATTTAATGGTTCTCTTTTTTGTTTGTTTTTCCTAAACAGGCTGCAGATACTTTGGCTGTGAGACAAAAAAGAAGAATTTATGATATCACCAATGTCTTAGAAGGGATTGATCTGATTGAAAAAAAGTCAAAAAATAGTATCCAGTGGAAGTAAGTTACAAACCAGCACCCTACTCTAAATCCCTTTTCTTCCTAGTGCTCTACGAAATCTGACCTTTCCATCATCTTTCTCCCTCTTCCTATCAGCCCTTTGCTCTAGTCCCACCAGACCCCTTGGTTTTCCCTGGACACACCTCACTGGGTCTGTGTTTACGTCATTCCCGTGTTAGGATGTTCCCTTGCTACCCCAAAATTCAAATCGTATTTTCTCCCTCAAACTACTCATTTGACACACACTGAATACTACTTTGTATTAACCTCTAAGTCTTTATCCAACTCCTTGAAAACAGGAACTATGTCTTATACTTAAGAATATGTACCTTGTAAATAATAATTGATTTAAATGCATGTTGTCATCTATTAACTGTTGCCTGGCTGTGTGTTAGAATGTAACAAACAAATATTTTCTGGTTTTCAAATGTGTCCTCTTGACCATAGTTTTATGTGGATTTTTTTTTTTTTTTTGCCAAAATACTAAGAGTTTATAATTTATTTTACCACCTCAGTCTCCATCATGAGACTGCTAGGTGTGATTGTTGAGCTTTGACACCATTTTGGCACCCCAGTTACCAGTCTGGCCTTCCAGATGACAAAAATCACTCTAGAGAAGACTGAGAAATTTTGTAATTTGGTTTTTCTTGTCAATAAATTTTCTAAGAAAATATGTTCAGAGGTATGGTGTTTAAAAAATGTCTAAGAAGTTTTTAATACTTGATTTTTAGAAGACTAGAAATTTTTCTTTTGGATATATTACTAAAAAGTCAGTTTTATTACAACAAAAATTAAGTGATGTTAACATAGATCTGATACTGGGAATATTAATTCTCATATGTTTTTAAGAGGTGTAGGTGCTGGATGTAATACTAAAGAAGTCATAGATAGATTAAGATATCTTAAAACTGAAATTGACGATCTAGAATTGAAGGAAAGAGAACTTGATCAGCAGAAGTTGTGGCTACAGCAAAGCATCAAAAATGTGATGGACGACTCAATTAATAATAGATATCCTTTTAAATAAGTTATACATATAGCTTTGGAATATGTATGTATATATGCTTTGTCTGAAGATCAGTTACTTTATCCTAGTATTTTTATAGAGTTAAGTTGTATAAGTGAATATAACATTTTAATTTTATAATATTCTTCTAATAACATAAGCTAATATATTTAGATGTTATATTTTTAAGTTATATAGTGCATCCATTAACATTATTCCTTTTTTTTCCCCCCTGTGTTGCACTGAGGGAAAAAAATTCTACATTTGGTCTACCTATAGATAGGATGCAATATGTTAGCCAAAGTGTGCTTAGTGAGTCTGTGAATATTAGAAGACATTGTTAAGCACATAAGTATTTTTAAATAATTATGTTCAGTGTTGTGAAGTGGTAAAAATTCGGCAACTCTCAAAGTTTTAAAAAATTTTGCTTTGACTATCCAGAGCATCATGGGCCCAAAGTCAATCCATGGTATTTTCTGCTTAATATGAACCCAAAGGTAGCTCCTATTGGAGAACAGGAGTCCAAGTCTTATACATCCATTATATTATATTTGGGGAAAAACATTAATGTATTTTTTACAAACCACTGTCTTCTCTTAGATATTTTGATTTGGGAACCTACCTTAGCCACATTTTATTTTATATCATCTCTCATGAAATTTTGACTAATGTATACAATATAATTAATTTGGTATGTTGTCGTATATTTGGTGAACAAGTCCATGACCTCTTTTCTATGGATCTGAGCTCCTTAACAGTTTGAGAACAGGGGTTGTTTTCAAGCTATGCCCTGAGGAGCCCTGAGATTCAAAGCCATTGATCTACTTAATCTTGTACTGTGCTGCCCTGCTTTGTAAGATTCTAGCCGTTTCCGATTCCTCAAACCATGACTGTATTTTATATATAGATTTAAATTTTTGTATATTATGGTATTTTGATGTTTTGAAAACCTTTTCTGGCACCACCTGGCCTGTACACCCTCAGGTGGAAACCTTCTGCCTTAATCATCTCAGGGCCAGATACCAGACAACTAGGGCCCTTCACCCCTACAGCTTAGAGCCTGCCAGTATTATGTAAACTAGCCAGTCCTAAAGTGTTCACCCTGCCCTGCCTTGCCTTTCCCAAGGAAGCCCTGATAAAGACTCTGGCCTAATGCTTTCCCCTCACTCCTGTCTTCTGCCTCTTGCTTGCTCTAGTGTCTGCCCATGTGGCCCTGTGTGGTCTGGTCTTGCCTCCTCTCTCTGGGTCCTTTGGGTATAACTTTCTTTTCCTGAACCTTTTTTCTGACTCCTCTTGTGGCCGTACCTATTTCATAAAAGAAAATAAAACAGTGACCCCAGAAGACTCGATGTGGAAGCTTACACGATTGCTCTCCACTCCTGTTGACAGTCTCCTTGTTCCCATACATCCCCTTCCCCTAGAAGACCTGCCTCCATGTGAGGACTGTGCACTGCTTTCCAGCTCTCTCCCATGGTCCCTCAGATGTCACAGAAATCAGAATGGCTTCTCCTCAAAGAATGGGAATGCCTTTGATTGTCACTGGCCTTTCCAGACTAGACTTCTTTTATCTGTCCATGTGTGGCAGCCCCTTCATACATCTGGTCATTTAATTATTTTTACCTTCATATATGTATTATTTTAACTTAAATGCTTCGACCTTGATGTAAATATTGTTCCTTAACTCCTAAGACAGTACATTTTCCTATGTAACTCACGAAGACATCTGTAATTGCTTTAATGGTAAGTACTGTTAGATATTTTTCTTACATTCTACCTCTCATCAACCTATTTAGTGTAGAGTTATTCAGAATTTCCCATGTACTTAGCCTAAATCATTATTTTAGGAGTTGTGGACATTGTGCCTCAGTCTGCAGTGTTGTGTATTGATAGGCTGCCTTTGTTTCCTGTTTTCATGAGAATAATTGCTTTTCACAGCTCTCACCTCATATCTGTAGGCATGAACTGTGTGGGCGGAGAAGGTAACTCAGAGCAGGATAAGTAACAGGCTCAAAGTTAGTCACAGAGTGAATGACCAAACTTGAACTGGTACACAGTTCGCATCAGTATTGTTTATGAAACTATATGCAGCAAATGTGCTGATCACAAGTGGAACCCGAAGAAAGCATGAAGAAAGAATTAGGTGAATCCATCGTATAACCAGGAAACTTATTTCTGTTCAATTCTCTGCCCTTATATTTTGCCCTTGAAATGACAATACTGTGTTAATAATTAGTAGTTATTACTCTAATTAAAAAGGTACCTGTGTTCCCATAATTGTAACACAAGTAAAATGAAATTTTGCATACACATTTATATTTAATTATGCATTGTATCAAAAGAACAGCCTTGTGTATTACCCACATATTTTATTTTATTTTAATTAATTAATTGATTTATTTTTTTGAGTTGGAGTCTCACTCTGTCGCCCAGACTGGAGTGCAGTGGCCGCTCCCGGCCACCGCAGCCTCGACCTGCTGGGCTCTGGCGATCCTTCCGCCTCAGCCTTCCAAGTAGCCGGAATTACAGGCATGCGCTACCACGCCCGGCTGATTTTTTGATTTATTGTAGAGATGAGGTCTCGCTGCCCAGGTGGGTCTCAAACCCGTGGGCTCAGGCAATCCACTCACCTCAGCCTCCCAAAGGTGCGGAATTTCAGGCTGAGCCACGAGCCCAGCTATCCACATATTTTTAAAAAGTCCTCTCACTACTGCACTTGTCTTAAAAAAATAAAAGTCTCTTGTCAAGTAGAAAGCGACTTTCCATGTAAGACTATGTTAGAAATATGTATGAGCTTATTGCTGTATTTTGCCATCATATCTCCTTAGCATTCTAAGGAAGTCTGGGAAAAGTCTTGTTAATCTGCAGTTCGACAGAGATCTGTTGCAGAATTTGGCTTCAAAAGTAAATTCACTTAAGTTCAAGATTTCAGTGTATCATATCTAATCTCTAGTATCCTCAGTCATTTAAATAGTTCAAATAAGCAGTGTTATTTGAGGCCAAAAGCTTTTAAAAATTGCTGATTTTACAGGAGTCTGAGTGAAAGCAAAATTTACTTGAGCTGAAATTGTTAGTGCGAATAGCAGCTAATACTGAGTATTTATCCTGTGTTAAGAGCTATTAATACATGTATGTATTAATTTGCTTAATCCTCAAGACAAACCTTTGCAGAAGGTTATAAGGCTCTCATTTTACAGAATTAAAAACCAGAGCTGGGATTGAACCAATCATTCTGACTCTAGAGTTTACACTGTTTCCACCGTATTCCATGATCAAGTGTTTTCTATAATTTTTAATATATATATATTTTTTTACCAGGTGATACACTTTTAGCCATCCAGGCACCTTCTGGTACACAGTTGGAGGTACCTATTCCAGAAATGGTAAGTAGGATAACTTTCATATAAGTGGGAAAAATGAATCTACTCTCTCAAGAGGGACAACTGTATTTTCTGTAGCTGCATTTGAGCTAATTGTTGTGTAAACACTTTCAAGTTGCTGCTTTTGTGTTTTATACCTGACAGTACTAATACCAGAATTTGAATGTCTTTAAAACCTTGGTAAAATTATAGAAATAACTAAATGAGCTGGGCATGGTGGCTCACACTTGTAATCCCAGCACTTTGGGAGGCTGAGGCGAGAGAACTGCCTGAGCCCAGGGTTAGAGATCAGCCTGGGCAACTTGGTGAGACCTCGACTCTACAATAAATAAAAAAATTAGCCAGGCTTCATGTCACGTACCTGTAGTTCCAGCTACTTGGAAGGCTGAGGAGGAAACATCGCCTGAGCCCAGCAAGTCGAGACTGCAGTGGCTATGAGTGTCCCACTGCACTCCAGTGTGGGCGACAGAGTGAGACTCCAACTCAATTTTTAAAAAAAGTAACTAAATGAATCAAAAATGATTTTTACAATTACTTAACCATATCATTAGTCATTTCTTGACTTCCTCTAGCTCAAATAAAATCAACAATTATAAAATATAATTAAAATCATTTCGTTAAATCATTTTAATTACTTTTAAAGTTTTTGATTTTATATGAGCTAGACTAGCTGCTAGAGAATATCAAGAATTGACTGATATGGTTAGTAATCTTTAAAAATCAATTAAAATGACCATATCTACAACTGGTATCAAAATCCCAACTGAAGAAAAAGTTCAATTTAAATATCAACAATGAATTCCTCTAAATTAGTTCTTTTAAAAAACATCTCCTGGCTTATTGAGTCAAAGATATTTATTGACTCTATGCTATAAATGAGTCTCATGATATTTGTTTTCAGATTCATATTTTCTAAAACAAAATGATTTGAAAGCTGTTAACAACCAAACAAGGGAGTAGAAAAAGATTACCCCTCTCCCCCCATACTTATTCAAGAAATCTGTATTTAGACACTTATAATTACTGGAGTCTGAAGCCTCACAGGATACACATTACTTTTTTGAACTGGAGGGATTTTATATTTGTTTCTCTGTAGAAAAATTAGTTGTCCTCATGCTTGCTGAAGAGGGGGAAAAAGAGTTTGATTTGTAAAATGGTTATCAATTAAGAGAGCATATTGAGATGACCACATCCATGGTGGTTAACTCCAGGGGAGAGTTCCTGCATATAGAGAATGCTTGGAGCACTGCTGAGCACTTACATATACAATTACACATGGTAAAAATGGATGGTGTCCAGAATGCTGCCACTGAGTTTTTTTGATGATCAGGTTTTGAGAAAACCTTACTTTTTAGAAACGCGTTGTTTAGAGCCTCCAACAGCCCATTCTACTCTTGGTTTCTACTTTTGTGATTTGACTAATGACTTATTTTGTTGTGTAAATTTAGTCAGTCCCTAATCGCTTTGCCTGTCTTATTTTCAATGTTTTAAGGTAGCTAGAAATGTTAATAATCATACATTTGTTTAAACCCAATAACTCCAAAGGGTCAGAATGGACAAAAGAAATACCAGATCAATCTAAAGAGTCATTCGGGACCTATCCATGTGCTACTTATAAATAAAGAGTCCAGTTCATCTAAGCCTGTGGTTTTTCCTGTTCCCCCACCTGATGACCTCACACAACCTTCCTCCCAGTCCTTGACTCCAATGACTCCACAGAAATCTAACACAGCAACTCAGAATCTGCCTGAGCAACATGTCTCTGAAAGGAGCCAGAATCTCCAACAGACGCCAGCTACAGATATATCTTCAGGTGGGTTCAGAGCTTTTGTTTTACAAATTAGAGAGAGAGAAATATGAATATAGGTTGAATATCCCTTAACCAAAGAGCTTGTGACCAAAAGTGTTTCAGATTTCAAATTTTGGAATATTTGCATATGTAACAAGATATCTTGGGGATGGGACCCAAGTCTAAACATGAAATTCATTTATTTTTAATATACACTTTATACACATAGTGTGGTGGTAATTTTATGCAACATTTTTAGTAATATTGTGCATGAAACAAAGTATTGACTGTGTTTAACTGTTACCCATCATGTGGGGTCTGGTATGTAATTTTCCTCTTGTGACGTCGTCATATTGGTACTCAAAAAGTCTTGGGTTATGGAGCATTTCAGATTTTGGGTTTTCAGATTGGGGATACTCAACCTGAACTATAATCAAGTGCTGCATAATGATGCTTTAGTCAACAATGGACCACGGACCACATAAATGATGGCGGTCCTGTAAGATCGTAATGGGATAGGCCATACCATCTAGGTTTGTGTAAAGTACACTCTATAATGTTCACACAATGATAAAATCACCTAACAATGCATTCCTCAGAACATGTTCCCATTCAACACATGACTACATATTAAACAAACTGGAGAACTTTTCTGAATTTGTCAGTGGTGATGCTATCCTATTATCTAATACAGGAGACAAAAATAGTACACTTAACTTAATCAGGTATTGATTTAGTGTCTCCTGTGTGCTCAACACTGTGCTAGGTATTATGAGGAAATTTTAAAAACAAATCCTCTCTTTAATTGTATTATTAAAGATTTAATTTATACACATACAATTCAGAGATATCCAATGAGTTGCAATATAATGTGGTTAAGACTGTGTATAGAACTGTGAATACTGAGCAATGGAAAGATATTTATGAGCCAAGGTTTGCTGTTTTCCTTAGGATTCCATTTTTAGAATTAATTAGGCCAAAATTGTTTCTTTTCTCTTTTTAACTACTTACCTATATCGGCTTTTATCTGAAGTTTACTTGGTAAGGTTCTTTTCTCTCTTATTAAGTCTAGAATAGATTATTATGTTCTACCTTTAAGAAAAATCAAACTACTATAGAACACACTGACGTATGCCTCCATAAGTTTTTTTCATATTGTCATACTTTTTATTTGGAAGCTTGGTTTTATAGAATTGATAAATGGTCTCAACTCCAATTATTTAGGAAATCTTGCCTTCCTAAATTGTTTCATCTATGAATTTATAAATAGTGAAAATACTACAAACTTGACATCAGGAGTAGAAACTACAACTCTTAAATTTATAAAAATTTCCTTGGCACCCTGTCTTTTCCCCTGGTTATATGACAAGGTATTTAGCAACTTCTTACCGATTCCAAATAAAGGGAGCATGGTATTAAATACATAATCTCTCAATGACTGCTGAATGAATGAGTGAATTGTGCCAATATGGATGTCGTATTGCAGATAATCCAAAACTATATTGTACATAATCCAAATGGTTTATTTTACCTCTGGGATGTGTTTCATTGCTACTATGGGAGTTCACAACAGTTAAAGGTGAAGCTAAAAAGATTTGTCAGCTGATGAATAATCTAAAACTCTGGCTTCACCACTATACAATCTATACATGTAACCAAATTACACTTGTCCTCCTTAAGTTTATACACACACAGAAGAGATCTAACTGGACATGCAGTGTTAGTTAGCATCTTATTATACATATTCTTCCCTTTCCTTACCCTATTTTACTATAGGCCATTGAGATGGACAATAGAATGTGTAGTCCTTAAAATTTTACAATAGAATTAAATAAAGTAGGCAAGCTTTATATGTTTTAGCTTAAAAAAATTAGTACATTGGCTTCCACAAATCGTTTACAAAATTGAGTACTGGCTGGGCGTGGTAGCTCATACCTACAATCCCAGCACTTTGGGAAGCCAAAGTAGGAGGATTGCTTGAGGCCTAGAATTTGAGAGCAGACTAGATAATGTAATGAAAACTCATCTCTACAGAAAATTAGCCAGGCATGGTGGCATGTTCCTGTAGTCCCAGCTGCTTGGGAGGCTGAAGTAGAAGGATCACCTGAGCTCAGGAGGTCAAGGCTATAAACTGCTATCGTGCCACTGCACTCCAGCCTGGTTGACAGAGTGAGATCCCAACTCAAAAAAATAAAAAATAATAATAAAACAGTGTTTAGTTTCTGCATATGGTTTTACGTCTGGAAATAAGGAAGGTAATTTGGGACAGATTAGAGAGAGCCTCAAATATCAGACTGAGTTAGGGTTTTTTGCCAGTGAGCTAGGGAAGGTTTGTGACCAAGGAACTAGCACAATTAGAGCTATACAGTGGTGAGCAAAGGAAAGATGCTTCTGGCCCTGGGAAGTAGAAGAAATTACAGGTTATGGAGATTGAAGATTAGATGCTTGCAGTTATACAACTGAGAAAATATGAAAGCTAAAATAGTGATGGCAGTAGAATCGCGAAGAAAAATAATGAACAGATTTGAGGCAAAATAATAAAACTTTATGTGAGATCTGGAGATAAAAGTTAACAGGTGAAATGGAAAGTGGTAAGTTTTAAGGTTGGATGACTAAAAGAATTATGATATCACTGAGTTTGCAAAACTGAGTTCGTTTTGAGAGAGCAGTGGAGTCTTGGTCTCTATCTTGAGTTTGAAGTTTAAGAGTAATGCCAGGCACAGAGTAGGTGCTTAAGAAAATTATCTTTCCACAAAGTACTAGTACTTTGCCACATCAATCAGGCTGCTGCTGTTTCTGAGCTTAAATGTAAGTGCCTCTTACTGTTAAAATATGTAAACAGAAATGTAATAAAACTTTTTCACATTTGTTTTCAACAGGATCTATTAGTGGAGATATCATTGATGAGTTAATGTCTTCTGATGGTGAGGTTAAAATTTTACTACCTTATATGTCAATAATGCTTTCTTAGAATTTGTGACATATGATTTAAAAGAAACTATATTTTCTAGCTGCTTCACTATGATTATTCATGAAAATTCTCCAATAACTTATAATAAATCATAGGCATCCTTCAGATTTTGTCTTTGCCTGCTTTTCAGTGGAAAGGAATCCATATGGGAATACTTCTCACCTTCACAGGATAAATTTCTAAACTGGTGACAAACTAGCCCTTTCTACTACTGAAGAATATGGCTCAAGTAAAATAACATGCCTAAATCAACAGGTGATCTGAACACCCACTTTTGAAAATACTCCTTTCATGGAATTTAAAGTGCTAATGTGGAGTTACCAAACTATTAACTAATGTTAGCCATGTCATCATCTAATTTGAAAAATTCTTAAAAATCTGTTAGCCACAATATGCTAATTTCTTTAATAATTTCTCTCTGGGCTTTACCTCTCTCTAAGTTTTTGATTCAGAGTTCTGGTTCCTAACAAATATATAGCAGAGACCTAGGAGGAAGTGGCAGTGACTAAGTTAGCAAATGGTGCAGTAACCACTTAGAGACGTATTAAGCATTTATGTAGAAGCTGAGAACCTCAGCAAACTAAGCTTATAGTTCATACTTGTTTTCAAAGTGGCAAACAAAATACTTTGATCAGTGTTTTATAATCATATTTTAGTGGAAAGTCTAACAAAAATTGTAACCTGTTTCTCAAGCTAAAACCAATCAATAATCAATGTATACACTGTCATTTAATGAGAATCTTTCAAAATATAAACAAGTAATTTGATTTTTCTCATTAAAAAAATTCATGTCACATGGGAAAGTTTAATTTAGATTGATGTATTTGAGAATATTTTCTGTTAAATATCATTACCCATATATAGCGACCATCTTTAACACTGAATTTGTTTTTTCTTTGCAGTTTTTCCTCTCTTAAGGCTTTCTCCTACCCCGGCAGATGACTACAACTTTAATTTAGATGATAATGAAGGAGTTTGTGATCTGTTTGATGTCCAGATACTAAATTATTAGATTCCATGGAAACTTGGGACTATTATCTACCTCTAACTGTGTAACAATTTAGACTTCTGAATAACCTAAGTATTTAAAATAATGAATGTAACACCTTTTTAGTTCACTGATTCTGAAGTGTACTTCCCTAATACTTTCTTTTTTACTTCACAAAACTTCAACCATAAAAACAAAGGGCTCTGATTGCTTCAGGAGAAAAGTGATTTTATACCCACCAATCTCCCCACCTCCCAAGTAATTATACTCTGGAATATAAATGTTTCTTCCAATTCTGAATCCCTTTGTTATTTCCTCTTTTGAGAGGAAAGTTAAAGTAGACTACAGGACATCAAAAACAAAGTAAGTTGGCCAAGGGCTCATCAATTATTTGTCTTATATTTTTACTGCCATGAAACTATTTCTGTATGTCATATCCAAACATTCACTGCCACTTATAAAGTGAAGGATGTAAATGAGGATATATATAACTGTTTCAGTGAACAGATTTTGTGAAGTGCCTTCTGTTTTAGCACTTTAAGTTTATCACATTTTGTTGACTTCTGACATTCCACTTTCCTAGACTATAGGAAAGATCTGTTTGTGTAGTTTGTTTTTAAAATGTGCCAATGCCTGTACATTAACAAGATTTTTAAAAATAAAATTGTATGAAACATTTAATTTATTGGTCTTTTTGAGCAATTAGATCCATTACCACTGTATTACAACTGAGCCATTAATCTTGTAGCTTCATCAACATTAACTGGTTCACTTTCATGACGCTGCTGAGGAATCTGAAGGGAAAGAGTATTACATTAAAATTTATGTAACAACAGCAAATAAAAACGACTTGTGTATAATCTGCTATGCAACTTAATTTCTTCTAGTCATAATTTGGAAGTAGAACTTTATGTAAATTCTTATATTCAGACTCAATGTTTTAAAGTCTGAATATACTGTATATATAGTCTAGAGCCAAGTATTAAAAATATACTCAAATTATAGGCTCTGGAAATTTAGAGTTTAATTTATTAGCCTTCAATTTAATAGCCATAAAAAAAGTAAATAATTTCTGCTTACCAGTTCTTTCTGCTGAGGTTCAAGAGAAAGGCCTTTTGAAAAGTGTGCTAGTTCTTTTTGTATATTTACAAACGCTTTATTCACTCTGTTAACTTTTTCTTCATTCATAATGTTTATCTTTTAAAAAAGAAAAAAGCATTAATTTGTGTTCTTATAACCACTTAAGATAAAATATATTCAATTTTAACCTTGTTAAACTAAAAATCTAAAAAATTCTTATTAACAAATTGGAGTGACTCACACTAAAATTCTTAGTATTATTGGGAAATTTTAGACACAGAGTTTGGGTTTTCTAAAAATAAGATTCATGTAGATATGCCTTACACCTAGAATTTACTGGTATAGAAAGGCCAAAATATATGACTGATATTGTGATTAATGATATATATGTATAGTCTTTTTCCCCATTTCCGGTCATAGTTTCTAAAATCTCTGGAATCTGCAGTTGTAAGAGTGCCTTTTGAATGCTAATGAGGTGGCTAGGGGTCTCTAGAGAGCTTCAGGATATGGGCTGATCACCAAAAAGATCACAGCAGTCTTAGAGGTCTATAATTTTTAGCTCTGGAGAAGGGACAAAGGCTGACACCAATGGCCAATGATTTACTCAATTATGCCTTTGTAATGAAGCCTCCATACAAACCCCAAAAGAACAGGGTTTGGAAAGCTCACAGATAGCTGAACATGTGGAGGTTTCTAGAGAGTGACATGCCTAGGAAGGGTATAAAAGTTTTGTGACCTTTCCCATGCCTCCTATCTCTTCCATATGGCTATGCATCTATCACATTTGTAATATCCTTTAAAATAAAATAAACTGATAAAAGTAAGTAAAGTGTCACCCTGGGTTCTGAGCTGCTCTAGCAACTTAATCAAATACAAGGAGAGGGTTGTGAGAACCCCTGGTTATAGCTTGTTGGTCAGAAACACAGGGGCTTGCAATTGGCATCAGAAGTGGGAGGCTGTCTTGAGGGACTGAACCCTCAACCTGTGGAATCTGATCCTATCTCCAGGTAGACAGTGTCAGATCTGAATTAAATTAGAGGACACCTAGCTGGTGCCTACTGGAGATTCACCTGTAGAATTGCTTGGTGTAGAGGAAAATTCCCCAGAAATCTAGTATCAGAAGGGTTGAGTGACTGTGTGAAACAATAGAAGAAACCAAGTTTGTTTTTTCCTCTATCCTTACAGTGACCATAACTTTCTAGGCTACTGTGCTATCATCCCTCATCTATACAGGAAACTGAACCAAATAGTTTTAAATGGAAGTCCCCTGGGGAGAGCTTCCCCTGTAGTCCTCTTTTGAGTGTCAGAGGTAGAGGTGGTATTCTTGTTCTTCACTGCAACTACCAAAAAACTTCAAAACCCTCAGCTCCTTGGCACTTTATGCTGCCTACACACAGATCTCTCTTAGATTCTACCTATCAGCACATATAAAGGTTCTAGTACCTCCTATCCACATAAAATAATCCTTCTCAAGTACACCAAGCTTTTTCATGGCTTGGAGACTATGCATTTGCTGTTGTCTCTGCCTAGAACACACTGCTCCCGACACTTCCCAGCTCTTTGCATTACTAGGTCCTTTTTCTGGTCTGGGCTTCAGTGTCAATCATGAAGAAAATCCTGTGGAAAACTGTCATTACCCCATCATATCATCCAGCTTTATTTCATTTTAAGCATTAATAAAATCATAAAATTGCTTGACCAAAAAGCTTAACCCAGCTAGCTCATAAAAACTGAATGCTAACATGTTACTTTTATACGGATTATTATGGACTACTCTATGGATTCTTATAATTACTGATTCCTAGAGCACCAACTCCACTACTGAACCTTGAAAACATTTCCTTAAAAAATTTTTAACAATTATTTGAGTCAGCATCTCATTCTGTTGCCTAGGCTAAGGTGCAGTGGTACAAATATGGCTCACCACAGCATTGGCCTCCTGGACTCAGGTGATCATTCCACCTCAGCCTCCCAAGTAGTTCCCAAGTAGCACTCAGGTGATCATTCCACCTCAGCCCCAAGTAGCCTCCCAAGGAGTACAAGCACATGCCACCACACCCAGCTAATTTTTGAGAATCTAATTAATCTTGAAATTTCTCAAGTATTTTGAAATAAAAGCAGAAAGAAACCCACTTCTTTCCCCACAATTTTGCATTTCAAAATTAAAATATTTTATCTTTATTTTATAGGTTTTTGAGTTCCAGTTATATTCAGAAAGAATTACTGAAGAGAAGAAGAATAGATGCTCACTGATACCCCATGTCTTGGCTCTATCAACAGGTTCTTGAATATATTTGAGTTCAGAGATAAGGACTGATTCACAAACGATGGCTTTTAAAGAATTTCCTATGCTCAAAACTATCAAACTCTTATATGGAGCCCCACACATTTGTCATTAAAGTGCTATTTTCTTACATTTGGTTTCAAGAAAGGGAGATTATTTTTCTTCATTTTTTAAAACAAATGTGTAAAACACCTTGCCTTTGTAGGAAAGGTTAAAAACCTTTTTTTAAAAAAAAATAGCATCCAGTTATTCAGTAGTTCACAACAATGAGGCTTTGCTTACAAACAATAAAGTCAGAGTGCTTAAATAATATTCACCTTCTTAAGATTAGTGGTAACTGGTTTTGCTTTGTTTTTAGATTTAAAGTGTTTTTGGCTGGCCATTTGAAGTACACTTATAATCCTGGCCTTTTGCTCTAGATATTTGTTCTTGGCCATTGTCTAGGAAAGAAAGAAAACAAGTTCAATTAAATTTCCCACATTTACTATGTAAACCAATTTAAGTTTTTAAAGTAAAGATACCGATTAGATCTAAGAAATTCCATTTTATTCACGATTATTTTTAAAGTTGCTGCATGTATCAAATTATTTCCCTGTCTTTCACCCTACTACATTTTATGCTCTTTGAGTACATAGTATGTAACAAATTTTTTTCTGCATCCCCAGCAACTGGCCTGCAGGAAGCACCCAATTACTGTCTGCTAGTTGAGTTCATTATTATTACATAACTATTGATCTCGGCAGCATGTGACAAAAGTTATCCATCACCATCCATCCCTCACCTAGTCTACATGCTACTATGCTATTCTGACTTTATCATACGTTTCCTTGACTTCTTTTTCATTCCTTTTTTATTCTCTTGTACATTGGAATCAGGTCTTAATATTCTTTTTTTTTTTTGAGTTGAAGTCTCACTCGGTCGCCCAGACTGGAGTGCAGTGGCCGTTCCCGGCCACCACAGCCTCAACCTGCTGGGCTCCGGAGATCCTTCCGCCTCAGCCTTCCGAGTAGCCGGAATTACAGGCATGCGCTATCACGCCCGGCTGATTTTTTGATTTATTGTAGAGATGAGGTCTCGCTGCCCAGGAGGGTCTTGAACCCGCGGGTTCAGGCAATTCACTCACATCAGCCTTACAGGCTGAGCCACCGAGCCCGGCTAGTTCTTAATATTCTACTTTCTCTCCTGTGCATCAGAATCAGTCCTTAATACTCTACTTCCTTCTCTTAAATTACTTTCATGACTTCCATATTACCTCTGTGTGAACAGCTCTTGCCTTGAAAGCTTGAATATTTTCTTTGCTCTGTTAGGTAGTAAATTTAAGCCAGTAAATTCTACCTTGGAATCTGTCTTTAACAGTACATGTGAATAATAATTGTTTAAAAAAAAATTTTTTTTAGTCAGTCTCACTCTGGTGCCCAAGCTGGAGTGCAGCAGCACAGTCATGGCTCACTGCAGCCTTTCCTTCCTGCGCTCAGGTGATACTTCCACCTCAAGTAGGTGGGTCTACAGGTGTGCATCACCACATCTGGCTAATTCGTTAAATTTTTTTGTAAAGATGAGGTCTCAGTATGTTGCTGAGGCTGGTCTTGAACTCCTGGCCTCAAGTGATCCTCCCACCTCAACCTCCCAAAGTGCTGGAATTACAGGTGTCAGCCACCTCCCCCAGCCTGTAAAAATACTAATAGTTAACATTTATTGATCTTTTACTATATAAACAAGCATTATGCTAACATTTTATGCACTTCATTTACTCACAACAACCTGTTGTGGGATGTACTATTATCACCAACTGACAAATTTAAAAATTGGATGCAAAGACAAGTTACTTTGCCCAAAGTCACACTGTTACACTGTTAATAACCAGGGGATACTGCTACTTAAAGACAGGCAGACTAGATCAGAGCTAACATTATGTGATTTATTTATCTCATTTATAAATTAAAAAGTAATACAAAAACAAGATACGGTATTGCCTAGTTCAGAATTGGTTACTGCTGCAGTCCCTAGGTCCATTTGGTTAGACCACAGATTGTCAAACTATGTCCATAGACCAAATGAGGCCAGGCACCTGTCTTTTAAAGTTTAACTAGAATACCGTTACGTCTACTCAATTATGTATTGTCTATAGCTGCTTTCTTGCTACAACAATGACCACCCACAAAGCCTACAATACTGGCCTTTTACCAAAAGTTTGCCAACCCTTTGCTTAAGCCATCTGCACAGTGGCTATCTGGCAGAGTTATGTGAACCTTCCCTGAATATAACCTAAATCTGTCAAATGTATCTCTTGCTACCTCTACACACACTTCACTAGCCAGCCTAGTTTACTAATTGTTCTCTGAAGTTACTGTGCACATTCTTCATTCCTTTGCTCTTGATTGAGATGTCTACCTTCCTTCAATGTTGCCTCAGAAAACTAACAGAGACAGCAACCAACACTTTTGAGTCCCAACAGTACTTCTACTTTAAAAAAAAAATGAACGCAGTAGAAAATACATGATTATTACAGAAGCAGGAAATAACATAAATAAAACACCTCAAATCAGACGATCTAAAATCCTCCCAATAGTAACCTAAATCAAATCACTCATGTAGTATTTATTCATCAATTACTATGTCCCAGGTGTGGTAGAGAACTGATAATACAATAAAGCTCTATCTAAAGTACAATATATATGTAAATATATATAGTATATGAACTTGCACAAACATAACGGTGACATGTACGGAACATAAAGACATATGACACTATACATAATATACACATGGAACATAGACACATTGCACACAGGTGGGGACGCAAGAGGGAGCGGTCTACTCAAGTTGGGGACAAGAGCAAGGTCCGTGAAGAAGGTAATAACCTTGCGGTAGAGGGAGGCAGGAAAATCCTCTAACAACCAACGGGGAGAAATTACGATAACAAAAGACAAGCTAAAAACTGGTCTCTGCCAAGAGATGAAGGCCCAATCGGCACTGAGGTTTCGGGCCTGCTGCCCAGTATAACTACCAGAGGCAGACAGCAACGGAACCGAGCCTCCGAGACACAGCAGCACGAGGCCGGCCCAATCCCGCCTCAACTCCCGTAAACTTCACGCCAGCCTGCCGGAAAACGTATTTATTAACTTCTCACCACACCTTGGACACCCGCATGCAACTTCTTAAGCTCCAACTGACGCAGCGCCAACCGCAGCTGTCTACCCGCACCGGGTCCAGGAAGTTCCGGGGAGAGGGAGCCAATCAAGATTCGGCTCAAAAAGCCGTAGTTCCGCCCACTGGGCGGAGCCCCACCCACAGGGGCGTTCCGCCCCGGGCCCAGTCCATTAGCAGAGCGAAGCCCCGCCTACCGGGCGAAGTTCCGCACGCTGAGCGGAATCCCACCCACCTGGCATAGTCCCGCCCACATAGCCGATTCTCCCGCGGAGCGGGGTGAAGTAGCCCCGCCCATAGAGTGAGGTTCCACCCACCGCAGTGTCATTACAATCCCTTGCAGTAGGCGGTGTTGCAGACCTGTCCTCAGTCCAGGCGAGCTGGAATGACCAAGTCTCCCCTTCTTGGGATAGGTGCTTGTATGGAAGTCAGCAAAGGTGCTTCTGTGACACTGTCGCACGAGAAGGCAGCCCTCAGCCGCTGCCTCCTGGCTGGCTCTGCCCGCGCTCCCAGGAGGGGGCGCTGCACACATCTGGGTCGTCTTCAGGGCTCCGCCTAGGGCAGAAAGAACCGTGTTGGGGCTGGAAAATATCTAGAGGTATAACCTCTGAAGGGAAACATTTGTCATGAGCGAGGAGTTAGAAATGCTTTTCTCATTGTAGCTTTCATGTTTCAGAAAGAGATTTCTGTGACGACATCAAAGGCACAAGACACCAGACACAATATAAAATATAAAAACAAGTACCAGGATACTTAGAAAAACCCAAAAGAAACATTTTTGCCTTCCGGTTGTATGTCTATGTGTAAGTTTTCTAATGAGGACGTTCTGGGTTGAATTTTTTTTTTAAGAAAATTGACTCAATTCTTCCAAGAGAATATCACTAGTAAAGCTAACCGTTTTGACATGTATCTCTATTTTGTTGAGGTCATAGGAAAAGCTGGATTTCAAACAAATGTAGTACTGACATTTATATGCCATCTTGTAACTTACAAGAGTTCAGTCTACACTATGCTCTAAGTACCAAAATAAGGTGAAAATACCACCCTCCCTCCCCCACCTTTGCAAGTGAGGATACTGCTAAGGCTCACAGCGTAAGCCATTTGCTGGCAACCACACAACTTAGTAAATGACAAAGTAAATTTTTTTGTAAAACTGTTTTTTTTTTAAAATTAGATGTGGCCGGGTTCGGTGGCTCAACCTGGAGTTCCAGCACTTTGGGAAGTTGAGGCGAGTGGATTGCCTGAGCCAACCTGGCAACTTGGTGAGACCTCGTCTCTGCAATAAACAATTAGCCAGGACTGGTAACACGACCTGTGGTTCCCGCTACTTGGAAGGCTGAGGGGGAAGGATCACCAGAGCCCAGCAGGTAAACACTGGGGTAGCCGTGAGCGTGAGCGTGTGTGCCAATGCACTCCAGCCTGGGCGACAGAATGAGACTCCAACTCAAAAAACACACAAACTAGATGTTTATTCGTTTATGTAAACTTAGTAATTCACAAATCCAAGTTGGCTAGCACCTGGTAAAATCCTCTTTCCAACCGGTCAGGGTCAGCCATTTGCCTACTTAAAGAAAGATGAGCCATTTTTACAATAAATTGTTTTATTATGTTTATGCCTATTACAAAAAAAATTAAGAAATATAGTAAGGAAAGAGGGATAATTGCCTGTCAATGTATGTTTACTCAAACTTTTGTGTTATTTCTAGATGTCTGCCTTTTATGCTGCTTTGAAATGCCCATAATGTGTGGGAGCAAAACCAAACCAAACGCAGAATACCATTAGATTATTTTACAAGGCCAGAGTTATTTACAAATATTGAAGCAAATAAGACAGGTATAATTATACTTCCTTGAATATGAAGTTATTGATGTATATGCAGAAGACAAAGAAATAGTTGTAATACAATGACATTACAGCGTTTATAAAAACTTGTGGGCCTCGTTTTTACTTTGAAATGGTGATAGAGCTACACCAAGGCAATAACATGGTTATTCAGGCAAGAGCAGAGGCATTATATAAAGCATCAGCAAGGAGGCATAGATTTCTGTTTTATCTGTCAACCGTGTGACCTTGGAAAAGTTATTTCATTTCTCTGTGCTTCCCTATTCCATAGACAGATAGATGAGAGAGAGAGAGAGAGAGATCCATTACACCCACTTCAGAGAGCACTCATTATCTGCTCAGCATCCCTTTCTGGGTAACCACTCTTCTCCCAGCAAGTGATCTTTGTTGGGCTTGTAACTACAGTCCTCTTCTAAGTAGAGACTACTGTCTCTTGAATTTGGTGTCTTTGTGCTGCGATGATGTAAAATTGAGGTTACTAGTAGACTTTTCCTCCAGCAACTTGGAGGAAGCCTGTCTATGATGAGAAAAAATGAAAGCAACACACGAAAGAAAACAGAGTTGAACAGAACAGAGGACTCTGAGAATATAATTTGGGTCCTTGGATTCAGTCATATATGAAAGAAAGATCCATCCCTTGACTTCTTTACCTGAGCTAAAATATTGCTTTCTTTGAGCTTACGCTACCTTGGGTAGTTATTTTTTAATCACTTTAACTGAAAGAGTCTTAACTCTACTTCTGTCCTACCTACTTCAAAGAATTACTGTGCAAAGTTAATGAAATACAAAACATGAAAGCCTAACACACAAAAAAGGATGGTGTTAATTGTCTTCCTCTTGTTTTTTGTTTTGTTTTGTTTTGTTTGAATCCTGGTCTTTGTCACCCAGGCTGGAGTGCAGTGGCAAGATCACTCACACAGCCTCGAACTACTGTACTCAAATGATTTTTCCACCTCATTCTTCCTAGTAGCTAGGACTACAGGTACACACCACTACACTCCACTGTTTTTTTTACTTTTTGTAGAGATTAGGTCTCATTATATTACCCAGGCTAATCTCAAACTCCTGGACTCAAGAAATCCTCCTGCCTTGGCCTCCCAAGTGCTGAGATTACAGTCATAGACCACGGTGCCCAGCCTTAATTTTCTTTTTAAAATTTATTTTATCGTTTTAATTTTAAGGATAGTATGAATTTCCTATGAGCCACGTTAATCTATGAACCAAAGAAACCATACATATAGAAATAAAAGAAAATAGCTTAAAGTCTTTTAGGATTTAAAAATACATGCAAACTTCATTTTCAGTTTTTCTAACAAACTTAAAGATGAATAACACTAGAAATGGGGGGAAAAATCTTTCAGAAATCTTAGTTTTCCTGGGAAGAGTCAACCATACAGAGTTCTTCATACAGTTGTCTTTAGAGACCTTAAAGGAAGACTGTAGTTATAAGCCCAAAGACAGCAACCTGATCCTCAGAGAACTATCTTGAAAGAAATTTAACAAGTAAGCAAAGATAATTGGGGAGAAGAAGAAAATTAGAGCACACATAAGTAATTGCAAAACATCTGTAACAAAATTCACAGCCCACTATTAGAAGAAAAAAAAAAAAGCCAGCCTTGTGTTGATGATACTTCACAATAAGTTTGTTTCATCTATTCAACCTATACCACCTCTCTCCACCATTCAGTTACATTTAATCAAAAGAGTTTGAACACCTAAGCTCTGTGGGAGTGCAAAGTTCATGGCATAGTTCTTTCTCTGAAAACGGACACAGTCAGGATGTGAATACACAGGGAATGATGACTCTAGATAGAAAATGGTAAGAGCTATGATAAATGCACAAAAGTATAATATTTATGGAAGAAAAGAAGTCTACATTCTGAAATATTCACGTTAAAGCTCTCATCTGATTGTCTTAGAGCAGAAACTGGCAGACTACAACCCAAAAGCCAGATTCAATGCACTACTTATTTTTGTACAGCCCATGAGCTAAGAATGATTTTATATTTTAAAATGGGGAAAAAGTCAAAATAAGAATCATATGTTGTGAAGCATAAATGTTCTGCTAAATTCATAGTTCATTGCCCATAAATAGAACACAGCCAGGCTCATTTGTTTACATAGTATCTATGGCCGCTTTCATGCTACAACAGTAGAGCTAAGTTGCTAGAGAAACCACATACCCTGCAAAGCCTGAAGTATCACTATCTGGCCCTTTACCAACTTTATTATTATTGTTATTATTTTTATTTTGAGTTAAGATATTGCTGTGTCACCCAGGCTGGAGTGCAGTGGCACAATCACGGCTCATTGCAGTCTTGAACTCCTGTCCTGAAGTGATTCTCCCACCTTAGTCTCTCAAGTAGGTAGGACTACAGATGAGTGCCAGTATGTCTGGTTATATATATATAAATTTTTTCTTTGGAGTGATGAGGTCTTGCTATGTTGCTTGGGTTGGTTTTGAACTCCTGGTCTAAAGCAATCCTCCTACCTCAGTCTCCCAAAGTGCTTGGATTATAGGAGTGAGACACTGCACCTGACTGCAACATTAAAACTTTTACCAGCCTCTGTAGCAGAGGATGAACAGCGTGATGGTATAATTGGTTGAAGTTTTACTGTTTTGTATTCAAAGCCATAGGCAACTTAAAAGAATGAAAGGCATTTTTCCTCTCAGCATTCCAGAAAGGTTACCAAAAAAAACAAAATGCTTAATATCACGAGTTTGGGTTCCCTTGCCTCTAATAGTTATCCATAATTTTTATGCTCCTGGGCTAAAAATGGAAGTTTCCAGATATGTAGAAGACACTTCCACCTAGATCCTCCTTAGGAATTGGAAAAGGGAAATGGCTTAATCTTTCTCCCCTAGGACTGGGTAAATAAGACTGGGTAAATTATTGGGAAGAAAGTGGCTAGGGGCTTTCTGCAAGTGCTGCAGACTGTGTTCCTCTGGCACGCACCACTGTACAGCCTTGAGAGCAGTAGCATAACATCCCTGCACCAATAAGTGTCACAGAAGGGATGGAGCTTTCTGCCTCTAAATGTAAACTGGACTTTGGCGTTGAGTGTCTCAGCAGTCACTGCAGTGAAATGAAAACTACAGAAAGTTTCCTATTTTCTGGACATTGAGTAAGCCACCCACGTTCTTATACTTGAGACTGAGATTGAATTTTTGTGCCAAATTAAGGAGTGAAACTTTGGAGTCATATTTAATTGGATTTAAAAATTTA